GAAGAGGTAGGAAAAACGTGCATTAATTATGAACCAACCTAATATTAGGTTGTCCCGAATGTCTGTCGTTTCGTATTTGAAAAATCGTAACCTTGTGGTGCCTGAACGGATTTACTTCATTATATTTTTTATTATGAACATTAAGTCTTTCTCTTTCGAACTGTTTTGACGAGTTTCTGATATGCACTGATTGCAAAGATAAAAATAAAAAAAGAAGACCCTATGAACTTGGTTCATTTTAATTAGGTCGCCAAAAATCGTGAACGCTGCAGAAAAATCTGAAATCGCCAATACATAGAATTCTTAACCTACTCTTCGCAACTGTGGAAAGTTTGCCCTGTTTGGACATTCCTTTAAAAAGTTACGATTTTCGAGGAAAGTGTCAAATCAATTAAATTTGGGATTTTCTGTAGAAAACTGGTATTTCGTAACTTCTCACATGTTATGTCATGATGTTCATATCTTATTTTTTTTATTTTTATCTTTGCAGTCAGTGCGTATCAGAAACTCTTCAAAAAGACATTCGAAAAAAAGACTATTTTTAATAAAAATATAATGAAGTAAATCCGTTCAGACACCACAAAGTTACGATTTTTCAATAACGAAACGACAGAACTTTCGGGAAAACCAAATATACAGGGTGTCCCAAAAAATGTGCCTACTGTTTGATTGTAAATAACTCTCTTGTAATGAAGTGTTTCGAAAAGCTTTAGGTACCTTTTTGTAGAGCGAGGTTGAACTTAGATTTACATTATGGAGCAAATCATCGATCGCTCTACATTACTGTAGAATTACGGTAAGAACTTGCAGCATATGGAATCAATGTGAAATATACCACCTAACAAAATTTTTTTCAAAAAATTAGAAAAATTGTGTACTAGGGTTTTCGCGCATGCTGATTCCACCTAACAACTTTTTACGAGCGTTTTCAGCTTTATTGACGGTGTAATTACATTTCGGACAAATGCTGGGAATTGAACTATTACGATTTACCGAGGATAACTTTGGAAAGAAGCATCACAGTAGAGTGGGAATTTCAAATTCGAAATCAGCAACTCTTATTACCACAGTATAAGAGTTTTTGGCTTGTTTAGTTTTGTTCCGAGGCAGAATATAACCTTCAATGGCCTAAAATCCTTGTCGAAGTTCGTGCCGTAATCCTACAATAATGAAGAGCGATAGATGATTCGCTCCATACTGAAAATTTAAGTTCAACCTCGCTCTACAAAACGTTACCTAAAGCTTCTCGAAACACTTCATTACAAGAGAGTTGTTTACAGTCAAACAGTAGCCACATTTTCTTGGGAAACCTTATATTATGACCTCTTGGGAGGCTCTAAGGTTTTCGAATAGAAATCCGATCTTCAGCGCTGTTGAACATTTCGAAATTTCGGATCCATCATATCTGCGTCACTTTTTTGGTGTTCACCTTGCCGCTTAACCTCTCGCGGAATTCGTAGCTTTATTTCGTTATATCATATTTTGAGGCTGATGAGGCACTTATTTCTCAATTACTATTATTCCATTCATGCGGTGCATGACTGAAATATTGATGGGATAGAAGTGAAAGAACAAAGAGGAGAAGTGAAATCTTAGCTAATCTCATTCTTTGGGTAAAATCTGACACAAACAGAAAGTGAAAAAAAATAGTGAGATTTGTGGTTGTGTCGAATCTACTGCTCGCAGAGAATTTTCGTGGAAAGGTCAGGTCTAAATCGCGACTGCATCACTAAAAAAAATCTGAAATTTGTTGCAAAAGCTGCATCACCATGTAGGCAATGTAATGACTCAAGTCCAGCACTTCGTGAACATTGCAAACTGAGTTTTGTGGTTTAAAAGCGTGACAAGCCTATGTTGAGGTTGGGGTCTGTCCGTCTATATCAGCGATTACGCAGAGTTTACGAAAGCGCTCTCAAATTCTTTTATCGAAAAAGTTCAGGGAATTCCATGACTATCATCTGAGATGAACAAGAGCTTGAAAACTCTTCAAACCAGCTCTATGTTGAAGCACATTAATTTTTGACGCTTTTGAAAGCAAAAAATGCAGTGGTCATTTCTCTTTGAGAAGGATGACAGGTCGCAATTGTTGCAAATGTTTCATATTTTAGGGTGTAACTGTACAAAAAGATTTTAGAGCCTGAAGGGCGATAGTGTTGAAAAAGCCATGTCTCCATAATTCTGTCCAGCTTTCGATAAGTTTTTTCGAATTCTATTTTTCTTCGTTCGAACTCAACAAAAATGGAAGCCGTTTTGTGTGGTCATGGTAGGCTGACATGCGCACAATACTACTGCGAAGTTTCGGACAGTCTCAACAAATTACGACGATTTCTAGAGTATCTTCAAAATTATGCACTGCAAATTGAGCAAATTATGCAAATTATACTTATATCGTCTTTTGATTCTAAATTTTCTGTTCATATTTGCTAGACTGTCTCCACTTTGAAGCATGTAGCAAGTTGCAGTTTAAGTGACCTACTAGAATTCTTTTGAAACGTTCATATCAGTCTTAGCTCAATGTGCTGTAGCTTCGAAATTGAAATAAATTGTCTAAAACTAGCTAGCATAACACTTGCACAGTGTGATTAAGCACAATAGTAATTAATTCATGGTCTACTTTCCTTTCATCTCAATTGGACTTAAAAAATCCTGGGGTTGTCAACGGTAAGGAGAGGTGCAAAAGTATGTCGTCTGCTTTTTTGTGGTTCTATCTTGTTATTGTTTACAACAGCATAACTTACCTACCTTTGCAGTTGACAACCAACTCTGAACAAAACTTGAGCAGTTTTAAAGTAACCTCTGTAGAGCGAAATTGCTACCTCGCAAAAACCAGAAACCTTTTAAATTTAGCGTGCGGAACTATGTTTTCTCTCTTGTAACATACAAAAACTAAGCGACTATCATTGCTACTTTTTGGCCTAGAGGGACGTATCAATTGTTTTTATATTTATTTCAAGCCCACGTTGTTGTCTGCAATTGTAAGTATTTCTTAAAATTAAGTAATCACACTCATGACCGAACTTTTTATCAGAGTTAGTGTCTGATCTTCTCATTCACAACTGTCATCGAATTCGTGATAAAAGCAATAAAAAGTACTACTTTGACTTTAAAGAGTTCCGCACAAGTCACCCAAATTCCTAGAATTACTGAGAATGTGGAAGATCGGTCAATTGAATGCTGATGGGGTGTCAATCAGTTGCTATTGGTCAATGATATCTGAGACATATGTGGAATCCAAGATTACTAGGCTAGGTAATGATTTATTGTTCATTGCAGCAGTCTGACACAACTTATACAGTAGTTTTGACTGTAGTCTGACTGGAAATTCTTGCTCATTTGTAAAATCTTCAGAATAGAATGCAAATATAAATAGCAGAGCCAAGCGGGCTTGATAGAAATGTAAACTGGTCGTAGCCTTCTACCAAGTACACATCGAAGTCTTTTTGAGTGTTCCACGTGGTTTGACATTTGCTTTTTCTCCTATTATCTGAACAACCTCGACACTATATCACTACTGGGAAGTAGACGAAAGCAGAAATACTGGTTCTGAGCTTCTTAACATGATTATCCGACGTTTAGCGTAGCTAATATGCGATAATAACTTACTGGTATTCCTTTCATCGTACCTGCTTTTCGTGCAACAGCACATTATGTTGCAAAAAACTGTAAAATCGGAACTTTGTTTATTCCTTCCAAAATTGTTAGTATTGTTACATATATATCAGTAGCGGTTCCAGGATTTCGAACCGGGGGGGGGGGGGGGGGGAGGGGCGGCAAAATTTCTTTTCAAATAAAGGTGCGTGGCCTTAGTCACGCACTCCGAAAAAATTTTTGGGGTGCTTCTCAAAATTTTTGCGGGACCCCTAAAATCTGGAAAAAGGTGGACTAAAAAAAAGCCCCCGAAAAAAATTTTTTTGTAAGGCTAATTCGAATTTTTAAAAAATTGGGGGGGGGGGGGCGCCAGCCCCCATATAAAAGGGTTGTTCCAAAGTGAGAAAATCGCTTCAGAAGGCGGCTACTCCTCTTGTCACCACGCCTGATGGTTGGTCTAAAGTGATAGGCACGAAACTAGACTTCGGAGCACCTGAAAATGTCAAATATATCTTTTCACAACGAAAGCTGAATTTTTGACATTACTAGGCAGTACTGAGCTAATTTTGGGCTCATCAACCTTACGCCCCTAACGAAGTTATCTTCAAAAAGTGTTATCTGCAAGTGGCAAGGATGCGCGCGCAAATTAAGGCTATGCTGCACATCAAAATGAAGAAGTAATCCTTGGCTATTCCAAGTCTTTTGTAGTTGTAGTCATCTTGCTGAAAATGCTATGGCTTGATTTTTGCTTGGTACAGCAAAATGGAGGAATCACAATATCAATAAAATTGATAAAATGCAAATAAGGTGTTAAAAACGTTGTCTGTTTGCAAGTATGTGCACAAACAAGAAAAAACTCATTTTACACACCTCTGAGTGGTTTATGCCCTCGTGCACTACTTACGGTATACCCACCGTAACTCTGCACCTGAAGTCAGACCACACCCAATCATATGCCATAACTCCAGGAAGTTCCACTACAAACTGGCAAAGTTAGAGCTTTGGAAGATTTAGGATCCACCAATGGGTCGTATTATCCGAAATGGCAGGACACGTACGACCCGGCGGTGGATCGTATTGTTGTGACTAGTTGATAAACGCGGTGACACCAGCAGCATCCATCTAGCGACTTTCTCACTTCTTATACATTATTGCAGCTGGACTTGGGCAGCTACTTAGTTAAGGCTTGCTATTACGTTGCGCTGAAAACTCACCAAGCTTGGGGTGGACGTTGCCTATAAGCTTTAATGAAATTCTACAAACTGCGCAAATTTTCTTTATTGCTCTCTTCGTAACTTATAATCTGGTCATTAATTTTTTTGATCTTATTTTACACTGTTGTCACTTGTCATCTTTTCTGTAATCGCTATGTTGGCAACGCATCATATCAGCAGTTCCTTACAAGAAAAAAAGGTAAACTGTGATTCTCCTTCATTAGATAAGTGGGCTCCACCATGCGATAAGTACAACGTAACTACTGCCTGTGACACTTCACCCAAACTTCCTTCACTCTCCTACGCATAGCAGAGTCTGTTCGCCATGGCCGCTGCTGCGGACACGACAGCTGGGTACAGCTCATGGGTGAGATCCCTTCGGAAGGTGCAGATGGCGAAGGAAAGAAAAGAGTATTACTTTTTAGGTCGGTTTGCTGTACATATTCAATCTGATTGTTGGGACCGGAGCTTTGGCGTTACCGAAAGCGTTCGCGAGCGCTGGTTACATCCTCAGTCTAATTATTATCGCGATATCTGCGTTGGCCAGGTGGGTAAGGCCTTAATTCATCCCCTATGCCATCATCATCTGAGTCGATTTCAGTTACATAGCAGCAACGTTCGTACTTGAGTCACTGTCTATAGGAAATGCTGCACAAGAACGGAAGCGTAAGTTCGAATTACATTGATTATTATGCAGTGTTACGCATAAAGAAAGATCTTTGAAACGTCTTAGTACTGAACTTCTCAAGAGAAAGGTACCGTTGTGGTTGCACTTCAATCAGTCATTTATATTTTAATATAAATGAAGCGTCTGGGCGAATCAGTTGACACTCAGTGATAGTGATCCCCATCCATCGTCACATTTTTTTCATCGAAAGAAAATGCCACATATCTGTACAATAGTGAGATTCAATAAAAAACTTGGAAGATGGAGACTGTGAGCTCATTAAAGGTCACTTTACTCAAAGAACAAGCCGTGGTCAGGTTATCTCAAATTGCGGGTCATATGGTCAAGATAATGTTGCACAAAACAAACATCTTACAACGTGTAAATGAATGTTGCCGCTCCATACAAAAATGCTTGGTCTTAATAATTGGAACCAGATCTTACAGGAAAAAGGGCTGATACATCATGGCTTTACATCAGAAAGTGTAAATACTAGTTTAAATCACTTCATCTTGACGAACGTGACATGGGAGACTTTCACCTGGCTCGTCATTTTTTTTGCCAAGATAAAAAATTTATAGCATTTGTGGGGAATCCCTCGTTGACTCTCGTTACATGTTTTATGTTTATGTCACACCATAAAAAATGACATTTATTGATTAAGTGTGCTCTCTTGTTTCTAAAGGCCATACTACTTCGACTGAGAGAAATCGTGCTTGAGCCGCTTGTTAGGGACTTTCAGCTTTGATCATGCTTGCCACTGTTAGAGCTAGGCTCCGCTCATCTATGGTGTAGTAGCGTACTGAGTTGCAGTTACAGAATAATTTGTTATCAACAGGGATGGTTGAATACCAAAAGGGAGATGAATGATCTTCTGCACCGCTCCGAAACTGTAATGCCGCTTTTGATAATCGCGAAACCGCTTGCTAGTCTCTCACGCCTCAAGATTACTCTATTCCGATAAACAGGCTAATCCTGCGTTAGGAGGGTCTTTAGCTAATTTTTCGATTTCCGCGGACCACTAATTTGAAGTAGTATGTGCAAAAGAATCGGGTCCGCAGAGACTTGGCTTGTCGCGTATTTGTCAATCGTAGCGAAATCGCTTTTTGCATTTGCACACCCATCCAAATTTTGGTGGTTACGTGACCATAGATGAGTATCCTTATTTATTGGGTACCCTCAATGAAAATCTGAGCAAATGCAGACTAATTACTGTAAAAAGTTTTTGAGCACCAGCTCTCCGACTCTGATAAAAAATAAAATGCACAAGAAATCACGCGAGAGAATCACATCACAAGTGTGCAATTCCATTCTACTTAAAGGCAGTGTCCGGGCAAAAACTCGATTTTGAGATTTTGTGCTTACTTGGGCCTATTCGCTACGCTGATTCCGAAAATGCACAATGTAGAGCGCGAAAATGGCGAAAAAGCGCTCTAACACAGGAGGGAAATGAGCAGGTGGGCGGGGTCCTCCCCACTGCGAATTCACGTTCCCGGCTTCCGGAGCGACCTTCTCGCCTCCGTTTCAAGTCAGTCATTCGCACTTGGCCGGTAGCGATGTTAGAACGGCTAGCGGAATCGAGAAAATCGCTCCGGGAGCTGGGAGCGTGAAATTGCATTGGGGAAAGCCCCGCCCACCTGCTGATTTCCCTCCTATATTAGAGCCCTTTTTCGCCGTTTTCGCGCTCTCCAATGTGGATTTTCGGATTCAGCATGGCGAATAGGCCCGTATAAGCACAAAATCTCAAAATCGAGTTTTTGCCCGGACACTGCCTTTAAGAAAAGAGGCGCAAATCTGACACTAGCTGGCATACTCGGCTCCGCCCGGCCCTGTCAAAACATTCTTTCAAAGGTTACTATCAGGGTTAAGCAAGAGGTGTGGCACACGATCGCTAGTTACGACCCCCCCCTCTTATTGCTGTTTCAATAAGACCTCCTGAACTAAGATAGCATTACTTGAAGGCCCTGTCAAACATAACGGGCAACATATCTATAATTAGCTTGTCAATTAACTCCTGTAGACAATGTCTGAGCGAATTCTGAAGTTTTGAGATACTGGATCACCTAAGTGAAATCGCCATTTCCCAGCATGATTAACTTTGTTTCAAAGGTGAAGAGCTAGCTGTTTTTGCACTCAAGACAAAGCACTACTCCTTCTTTGGCTACTTCAGAAATCTCGCTTCAAAAGACCTCCTGACTTTGGAATTAAAAGCCAATCAAAATCTTGTTTTTCCTATCTTTCGCTTTTAACTGTGCTTTCACCAAATATTACTCACAATCAGAACCAAGAAGACGAATGAGGCTCAAATCACTCCTGTGGAATCTACGAGGTCTAGGCTATCGATCCATATAAATAGCGTTTGCTAATAATAGTTTTTTGAATAGTTAATGGGTGTGGCACCACCCCTAAAAAGCTGTGGCAGCCACAGCTTGGATGTCAGCGGTAATCAGCGTGCCTCCCCCTTACCTCCTTTAAGTCCCTGCCCCCGGAGATCAACCTTGCAGAAAAATCCATAAAATCGATAAAAGATACAAATATTCTGATATTGTGTTCGTAATCAACACGTTCACTTAGCCCCCCCCCCTCCCGTGCCAATTCCCAGCGGGTGCCATTATGCCTTTCTGGAGCGCGTTTCCAGGGATCCATTTTGCCAAGCCGCCGCCTTTGAGACGGACGTGAATTTAATGCACTCCGCCTCATAAAAATGAAAGAGTTTAGTGTTGTTTCTTAAAAAGCGTGCATTATGCTATTTCTCGGTATCATCAGCGTTGCGTTCTTTGGCAGGTAATGGTGTTCCATCCACAGCTGTCTGCAAAGAACGAGTATTTTTGCTTGAGAATGTCAACATCAAAGACTTCATCACTTTTTTGGAAACAATTTACTCGACGGAAGCATACGGATATATCAATGGTGAAATCGGAATTTTCAGGAAAACTCAAAAATGCCTGTATCTCATTCCAGAGACATTCTGGGACCTTGGGTCAAAAGCAGGTTTATGCTAACTCTAACTTTTGATGGCCATCCAGCGGTGCTACTCAAATTTTTTTCCCTTTCTTATTTCATGGCGTTATCATGATTTCCTCCCAGTAAATTCAAAAAACCCCTGGAAGAACGTTTCATTCTAAAAATATTCACGGTATGTTTACCCACATATAGAATGTGTGCATGCAAAATTTCAACAATCTAGCTCTATTAGAGCCTGAGATCTAAAAGAATGTTTCGAAAATAAAACATTTTTTGAATAGTTTAGACTTCGCCAAAAAATTGAAGTAGTTGTGATTTTGTGTACTCTTTCAATACGTTTGAGCGTGGCATTAGCACTCGAATTGTTTAGGGAAGTTTTTATTTTGCAGTTAGCAGTACCAACTTACACCCTTCTAGTCTAAGGTTCTAAAAAACAAAGTACTGAATATTCTCACAAACAGTTACTACATTCGTAATCAGCCTGCTCAGTTAGCCCACTGTGCCAACAACTAATATTGTATTCGTAATCAGCATGCTCAATACCCCCCCCCCCGTGCAAACTCTCAGCCCTGCAGGTCAAACTTTACAAAAAGGTAAAAGTCGATAAAATCGATATCGATCGATGACGAAAAGTGGCCTATGACACCCGCCCGGTCCCAAAGTGTATGTGTGCAATGTTTGGTCCTGATCGTTCAGAAACGGAATTTTTCTATTCGGAACATACGTACAGACAGACAAACAAACAGACAGACAAACATACAGACTTACAGACATACAAACAGACATTAAGCTTTATATGTCATATAAGATAAGCTACAAGATATAGCTACATCAACTTTCACTGGGACTTTTCAGTCAGAAAGGCAAATTTTCTTGTGATGAAGTGAGCGTGCTATGTTTTTATATCATCAACTACTCTCGTTCTAGTCTGCTTTTCAGAAATTCATGTTTCATCAGGAAAGTTTATAGTCATTAGCTAATTTTAGGAGTGGCCACCACAGAGAAAAAATCAGCAGATGATTCGACTATTTTTGAAATTAACGAAAAGATCGAAGTTGTGAGTTTATCCGAAGGTTTTCTTCATAGAGGAAAACTGGCAATATAGAGATATATCACAGGGCCATATGGCGAACATGTTTCTTGGGAAAATTGGAGTTATAATATGCAACGTATTCATGGATGTGTACCTATTTGGTGATCTTGCTATATATTCTACTACAGTTCCAAAGTCACTGATGAGTGTGATATGGTATGACATGTACAACTCTCGGACATTTGAACTACAATGGTTCTTTCAGTGAAACTCCTACAGGTACCACACCTCCGCATGATAGACTGTGCAGACCTGGATGGCCAGGCTTTTTTACTCGATTTACAGGTACTCTTTTATACGGTAACTTAGCGAAAATTATCTCTGAGCTTCCAGTGTACCGCTTGTGTATAGTGCTTTTCATAATGGTAACGCTGCCCATGATCATCGTTGGTGTAACAAAAACGAAATATTTGCAGCTGACAACCACTGCCTGCAGATGGATAGGTGAATAACCTCTAAGGTTTCATGTAGAATGCGCAGTAATCTTTAAGTTCTTGGATTTAGCCTTCCTGCTCATGATTGTCCTGGCCATCGTGCAGATTGCGAGCGAAGGAGCAGAGACAATTCCTCCACCGGCGGATATACATGGATTTGGAGCAGTGTTCGGTGTTACTGTTTACGCATTCATGTGCCACCATAGCCTCCCATCGCTTGTTACGCCAATGAAGTTCGGAGTTTACGATCCACTAGATTTAGAAGAACTGATGGAATGTTTCAGCACTAAAGCACACGTCTTCATCAAGGTTCTAGGCGTCTACATACTCGTACTGGCATTTTATGTGACGCTGTCAATCACTGGCTCATTTGCCTTTAAGGAAGTACAGGTAAAGTTTACTGTATAAGAGATAGAAAATGATCGAATGGGTGGGGCCGATTCATCTTCAAAAATTGAGTGACTGTCGACAAATTATGAATTATAGCTGTAACGACGGAAATTCTCGAATGAACGATTAATGAATAATTGATTCTTGAAAAATCCTCGAACGGATGAATATTGAATAATTTTGTTTCGAAAATTTCTCGAACGAATGAGTACCACATAATTGATCTTTGAGAATTTTTCGAATGAACGAATATTGTTCGATTTCCGATTTTCATATTGTTGGAATTCGATATTCAAATATGGGCACATTTGAAAATTCGAATTTGAATATTCGAATAACTGAGCTTAATCGGATATTCGACTATTCGTATAAATAGTTCGAACATTCGGATGCAATAATCGAACATTCGGTGTTCGAATGCAATATTCGAATATGCGAATATTCGAACACATGTTTTTCTAAACTTCTCCATTCGTATATTCAAATAAGTGTCTTTTAAAATTCCTCGAATAATCAAATATTCGAATAAGTAAATTTTCCAAGTCCTCGAATGAATGATTTATTCAAATACAGGCCTTTTCCATTTATATGAATGATCTAATTGAGAAAGTCCACTTCAAAAGTACAAATATTCGAAATATTCCACATTCGATTATTCGGATAATCGAAGATTTCGAATAGATTATCCATACTATGGATCACTTGTTTGGACTGAACTTCTATTCGCTTAGAAAGACATATCGAGCTAAGTATCCTTGTCTTTTCAGGATGTCTACACGCTGAACTTTTTGGTGGATAACATTCAGAATGCTTGGCAAGGCATCAAACATTACTTCTTAGCGTTGTTTCCTGTATTCGTCATCACAACCAACTACCCTATTATTGGATGTACACTGATCAATAACGTTCGCGTACTACGGGATATGTTATTCTCCACCACAAAGTTCGTATGCTCCAATTTGGTAACCCCAAAACTTTTAATCCGATTCGATCGTAACTTATTTAGGGTATTTACTGAAGAGCAGACGGACGCGGAGAAAGAAAAAGAAGCTAAAGCAAGTAAAAAATTCATCATCGTGAGTACCCTGCTACTTTATCGCACTTTGCTGTTGAACTATGCAGCTTTAGATTTCTGACATCATTATTTACGTGGCCATGATAGGACTTGCAACAGTGATTAGTATATTAACCGATGATATGCTTCTGCTTACCAAGATAACAGGATCATACCCAGGTATGAACAAGTTCTGATAAGCAATAGTTGTACAAGCATCTTCATGATTATATTCATATAAAGAAACAGTCGGATTTGCGCAGACTGTAAGAGTAGTCTTTTTGACAACACCCGAAATCATACATATTTAAATTTTGCCCTTTTCTTACAAAGGAGTTCGTGTACAACTTCAACAGATTGATTGAGCTATTTCAACGGTTACTCAGTTCATTCCTATTTGAAAAGGAAGTAATAATCAAGTTTGGAATAGTTAGATACAGAAAAATCTTCATGCTTTGGAGCTAGCACCTTATTTTCAGGTGTTGGTGTCCAGTACCTTATACCATGTCTATTGATCATTTATGCTCGCAAATACGCAAAGAACGAGCTCAACCTCGATGTTCCGTCAAAATACGCAAGTCCCTTTGCCTCAGTTATTTGGGTTGTGATCATCTTTATTTGGGCATTACTTGCTATCGTCATGGCCACTTTGAATCTATGTGGTGTAAAATTCTAGTATATTGATATTTTATGCACTTTTTGCTCAGCAAAGATGGGTAATTAAATTCACTGTAAAAGCATATTTGAAAATCACTTAGAAAGAAGTCATTCGTGATATTTCGAATATTCTCTGTCACTATTCAGTGCCGTGGTAATATGCTTGAATATGTGCCTATATTTTCTCAGTGTCCTTGTTCTCAGCATTCGTGTACAAGTCTTGTCGTACGTAGCATTCAACTAGCGCACATATATACGGCTGTGATCCTCGATTCAATCGTCTAATTATGTTAATGTTTTATTTGAGTGCAATAAACATAACAAATCCTATAACATTCCTAGATACCTGTCTGGTAACAACCGTTGCCCGTACCAGAGCTATTCATTATGATGGCAAAGCTGCTATCTCGTCTTCGTTAATGTCATAGTCTTTTAACTTTTGATGGAACTTGTACCACTTTCCAAAGAACCCTATGTCAAGGATGTTGTTATAAAATTCTTTCCATATCCATTCTTTAAGGTTGGGATCTTGAGATTCGTATGTGCTGATCTGAAAAGGGTGTAAGTTGACGTACTGATAGGGAGTTCGGGTATAAGTCATACTGCAGAATCAGGAACAAGAGGTGGTTGAAGTGATCAAAGCCAATTAAGTGTGACACGTTGAGGCTCTAAGCAAAGACACTTACAGAATTGTCATAAGTGGATCGAACAAGAAGGGAGAAAAACCAGAGGTTATAGTAGTGCAAACGATTTTGACACAAAAGTACAGAACGCTCAGCAAGCTCTTCATCTGAAAAATCCTTCAAAGAGTTTCTGAGATAGAAGAGTAAGCACATGTACCTGCTTGCCTGTTGTGTATGGGAGGTGGTACTAAAGTCATTATTTGGCGCCATTCTCGCAATTCGTTCAGCATGGATTCTTGTGTAGGATTCGTTTGGTATGCATATATGAGGCCACCGAGACCCGATAGGTAAATTCCTGCACAGAATGCCGCGGTGTTACAGAAAGAGAGAAAGCTATAATGACTTGCACTCTTCGTATAGCCAAGATTATATTCTTGCAAAGCTTGGCACCGGACAAAAAATTTCCAGAGAAATCTGAAGCCATGAAAGCGCAAAAACCTTACCAGCTTTGTAAGGTTTTCTCTTGCATCCCTCAAACGTTTCGATAGCAACAGTCTTGTAATCATTGCCTATTTTCTTCCAGTACTCAACGAAACTCTGTCCAGCCCTTCGGAATAAGCTGGAGACGGTAGATGTCATAATCTTGAGAAAAAATGTTCACCCACTAACATAAACCGAGACTAGAAATAAGGTCTAAGGTGTCACCTCAATCCAAAACTTGCACTTTGCGGAATGTTTATCCAATAATTAAACGAAAAACAACAATAACCTTACTCCGAGAATGACAGTAGCAAAAAACGTGCAGCATGCCGTCTGGAGAGAAAGAACGCTAATATCAACGCATCTTCTTACGCTTGGCTTCGTCCCAGTACAGGAAGAATTGTACAAACAGAATGGCATTCAGCACGGCAGCTATGGCAAATGAAGCGATCAAAAGAGTATCACCAGTGTCCTGGACCGAAGTGAACACCCGTGCAACCGTACCTAGAAAGACAAACCGTACTCCATTTTCAAATGTCTCTATTTGAGCCCATGACCGAGTCAATAGGTAGGTGCCAGAGTAAGCGAATATTTTGTTCAGGGTGGGGTCCCGCGTAGAATTGACGTCATTTGGATTGACGCCAGCATGGTGAGAGTCGTATTCTGCGCGGAACCCCAAACTGAACAAAATATTACTCTGGCACCTACCATACTGTTGCAAATGATAACAGTCACGTGATAATTTGCCAATGGCCATAAAATTTATAAAAACCGAAAGTCAGAAATGAGAAGGCGAGAGAGAAAAGCGTGCTATTTTTGAACAAAAATTGTGATGCAGCAGAAGGATCTACGATTATTCTAGAAATTAATAATAAGAAGTGCGACCTGCACTGAAGACCAGTTTCAACTATATTATCAATAGAACCGCTCACCAAAAGCAAGCCACACGCAAAGAGTGTGGAGTAAACAGACCCTCTAGAAAGCGAAACTGGTGGTTTGACATCTGGATTCCCCAGTTTCCAACAAAGTTGGTATTGTCAAGAAATATACATAAGAGCATTATGCGCTTGCAAGACATATTAGACTCACCTGCGAACTGCAACGACGCAGAAACAAGCGACAACTGGCCAGTGCTTTGGTTCTTGAAATTTTGCCAGGCTTGGATAGACTAAAGTAACGAATTTTCAAAGCAATCACGCTTTTTATGAGCTACATCCATTTCAACGTTTCGCGCAATTAATACTAGCATTTTCACAACTATTGGCTACTGATTAACGAGATAACCACAAAAAACTACTCGCCTTCGAAGCAACAGTGATAGGGATGCCAAGAGCCTGAATCATCATCAGGATCTCCGCTGGCACGTAATTTCCAATGACAGCAAATACAAACGCCCAACTAAATAAAGTATTTGCAAAGGGCACTGCTGGATAAATCCACCAACCAAAATGCAAAAAATGCAAAAGCATAAGCACTAGCGTCCGAATAATAGAGAATCTGCATAACGATGATCATGAGCTGAATGGCAACGAAAAACGAGTCACCCCATTGACTGGAAAAAGTGATTATAAAATTCAGAAAAATCAAGGAAAAAATCAACCTGAAAACGAATCCTTTGTTAAAGCTGTAAGCAGCAGTACCAGCAGCAGCAACAAGAGCAAGAAGTTGGGACAACAGTGAGATTCCCTGAAACAGCAGATTATTTGATGAATGTAAACGATAAAAGCATTCTACCTTAGCGCTTTTCGCAGTGAAGATCTTTAGGATTTGAGGTACAAAAAGGAGAATAGATCCGCCAGTAATTCCAAGACCAAGAGCACGGCTCAATACCATCTTTGGACATGTTGCTAAATGCAAAAGATGGTTATCTTTTAAACCCTTCAAAGTGAAGACTTACGATGGAATATATTGAAGTTGATAATCAACTCTTCGAAGCAATTTTGGGGGAAAACGAATTGTAGCGCGTTGTGCAAGTACGTCTCTAAGACGGGCTTCATCTTCTGAAACATCAACTTCAGTGCCAGTTAAAGTCGATAACCTGCACGACCTCTATATTCCACACTTCTACAATTCCGACAACAAGCAACGCAAAAGTGAGTTTTAACGAGTGTTTGATCGGACACGCATCATTTTCAAATCTCTTACGTACAACGCGTCGCTAAACAGAGGTAGTGCAAAATTGTCACTCTGACCGTTTGAGATATATATTTAGCACTGGCATCAATAAAAATTTCATAAAAGAGTGTGCGATCTCTCGATTTGTTCTACAGGCAGCGAAGATGATCGATAAGCAATCAATCGAAGTCACAATGTAGTGCTTCCTGCGTTTCCGAGTTGTACGCTCCATGTCCTCCGAAACGACAGTCAGGCGACGACACGGTATGTTAAAAGATGTTATTTTTATATGTGCCTAATTCATCCAATCCCAATAAGCCATTAGAATCGATAATCAAGCATTTATTCAAGGTTGTTATTGCATAACAATGAATTTCGCATGCATTAAGGTCCGGCCGGACTTCGCTCAAAAAGCCCAAAAGCGCCCAACTTTCCCTAACTCCTCTTCACTCTCTCTCTCATCTCTCCTTACACGAGAAAGTGATGAGAGATTAGAGAAATTCGGGCGCTTTCAGGCGGTTTTGAGCGTTTTTTGGCGCTTTTGAGCGTTTCGAGCAAATTCTGGCCAGCGCCTGAGGTTTTTTTTTTTCATGTACAGTTTCAGTTTGTGTTTTTACTGTTCTCGGGCGCACAGTTACTCATATACACTATGAAGAACGTAATAGCGTTTGTAACATGTAAACAACCAACAGCTGTTGGTTGCTCTAGAGACATCTGCTTCACGTTTGCACTCCGATAGGGACCGGCCATACTATTCCAAGAGGTGATTTCGGCGATTCCTGTAATTCCTGTGATTCCTCCACTTCCGATATGCCGCACTACGGAGAGCTCTGCGAATTTCGGTATACGTTGTTTTTTCGCAATGTATATTGTTTTGCGGGACCCGTAAGAATCACAAAAGCAGGAACTGCAGGAATCACAGCAATTAATATGGCCAGTCCCATAAGCGAAATTATACAGATTTGTGCGCGGCCAGAATGATCGCGTTTTGTATCCAACTTGAATGAACTAGTAGATTAACTTCTGCGAATGTTGTTTAATGACAGATTAAACTTTGCAGAACATTTCACTCAGTAATAATTTTTGGCTACTCAGGTTTTTGTGAGTGAAGTTGCATACTATCTATATGTCTTAGTGTTCCTGCATTTCAGGTATTCAGAAAGGGACGTGCGAAGCCACAGCCGACACTGACTTTAAAGGATTAAAGTCATAAGGAACGCGGTCTTTGCTGGCTTCACGCTCTGATTATGGGTGAGTCAAGATACAATCTATATCTACGACAACGTCAATCAAGCTCTTTCAAATCATCGATCTGGAATAAATGGGAGGCTTTTACCCGCGACCAGCCTCTTCTCTTTATCAAAAATTTTCAAAGTTGTTTTATTTGTCCATGACTGTGCAACGGTAAAGCTGTGATAAACAATATTAGAAACGACTTTTAGCCGCAAAACATTTAAAAAAAGCTGTCAGAGACTCGGTTCTCCCTGAACTGCTCACATCATCACAGATCCAACAAGGTATATCAAAGTACAGCAATAATGATGTGATCATTTCGAAAAGATCGGGAGAATGCCCTGAGGCAGAGCTACATATTACTTAACATACTATCATTCTTGGAATAAAAAGAGAATGGAATGAAAAGACGACAAATATTGCCAGTACAAATGTTGTTAAACTGTACAAAACCACTGGAAAGTGAGACCCGTAGCTGTCATTAAATAATAAAAATGAACCTCACAACTAGCATGATGCATAGGAGGCAGGTGTACAATCACAATCAAAAGACTATGTTGGGCTCATCAGTATCGATTAGGCAGAGAGATGATACGTACATGTAAGTAATCTGCAGAAACAAGTGAGTTATGGCCATTATTACTCAACACCATAGCACATGAGATATACGTCAATAACTACTATAGATAATCTATGAAAACTATATAGTATCCGGCAACGGATACGTACAAGGAAGTCGATACGCGAAATATTGCGGAAGGGGTAGATAGGCACTCGCATTTGAAATGTCACGATCCTGTTAGTACATCGAATACCTCCAGCTCGTGGATGTCGAAGCTGCGACTGTGAACCAAGGCTGGGCTTCCAAAGGTCTGACATGCTGACGACATTCCATGCGTGAGTTCTTCGGATATGCGGATGGCGTCCCCATCGCCGGAACCAATCTGGGGAGTGATATCTTACTGCATGATAAGAATGACATGGTTGCGCAGCTCAAAGCCACATTTTGGGCCATAAGCATATGCGTTTGCGCTGGTTAGCATGTTTCAGTGTTACTCACTCGATGGGTTGGTTGAAAGGCAGAATCAAAGCTTAGAAAACATAGAAAGCATAAAATGTTTAAATCTCCATACCACTAGTAGTTTGTCCCCAGCGGCCATGAACATTTGTGGGCAAGCATCTGGATGTTCGTTGTTGTTACCAACCCATCCATATATTATGGGTAATTCCAACTCTTCTTCAAGAACCCAAACGAACGATTCGCCCGTCCCAAAGTACCTATAAAAAGATCTGAAACTTCTTCCACGTATTTGTCTTATGAAGAACAAACTTTGACTTCGAACGCTCTCGTCGATCATTTCGTTCGGCCCATGAAGAGCTGCAGTAGGCGCCGAACTTCTCACCTGTCGTGGTTTTGATCAAAAGAAGCGTTTGTTCCGCAAGATCGATTCTGAATTTCAAGAATTTTTGACTGTCGCTGGCAGATATCAACACGCGTACTTGCTCCATAAATGTGTGAAACTTGCACCGTCATTGCTCAAACGAAATAGAAGTTGAGGCGTGGCCAGCTGGAGTCGGGGCGGTAGGGCTGACATTATTTCTGCCGCAGCATCTAGAACGACAGATTTGTCAAAAACTGATTTCTCTGCAGACTCTCTCTCCAAAAGTACTAGAGGAGACCTTCAGACTACATTCACTATGACCTTTCGATGAGGAAACCAGAAAACAAGTTTTGCTTGATATGCACAAACCTTGGTCAACTATAGCTGAGGAGAAGGGTTGTGTGAATAGATGACGCGCTCTTCTAGGCAAAGCACGCTTTTGCGATTGGCGACGATTCACATCTTCTCGTACCTAAACACCGACACAATATAGAAGTCGTCAAATACCCCAGTACACTTAATTCAGAATGTGCTGTGCGTTACCTTATTTTCAAACTGCGCTTGTAATCGCGTTATGGTGGAGCTTTGAAGGTTTCTGATGCGGACAGCAGTTTGTATGAAGGTTTCGGTAGAGACCTCAAGGAGAATACATTAAAGGCCAAGGACACAGCAAATACAAGCGGCTGTAGATGATCACCTGTAGCTGTTGTGCTGTACTTGCCAACTCTAACTTCACAGCTTCTATTCGCTCATCTTGTGATTTTCCGTGCATGTCATCATGAGGACGATTCTATAAATGTCCTGAAGGCTATAGAAAAGAAAAGTCCCATAAAGCGACCGAGACAATCAATCAAGGACCGTACCTTAAGTGACTTCGCCCAAATGTACACGATGGCTATCGCTGCCCTTATGATGAACTTTTGACCCTCTACCAGGTAACAGTCGACCACTCGAACTACATGGGTGAATGGGAGTCCTTTGAAGATCCAGGATAACCAGTCCCGCATCTGCATAAAACCTTGTAAAAGCGGAAATAGGAGGCCATGATTCTAAAACGCACCGTTTTCACAAGAATAGCATCATCGGCTGTGCCAACTTGTCTTTTCAACATTGCATAAGCGTGTGCTTTGTGCTTCTTAACGAGTGCCAGGATCGTATGCGACGATGCAGCCCATTGTACCGGCGACGTCATTAAGTAGCCCTTGAAGTTCATAAAATATAATGGGAAAGGGCGCTCATCGCACACACCTTGGATACAAGCAGATGCTGCACACAAGCGAACACGTCCTCGTCTTCAAGATAATGTAACATCAAAGCACATAATGGATAAAGCATCTGAAGTTAAGGTATACTCAACGAAGAAGAAAAAGTTCGAAAGACAACACTCACTGGTGCGGAACTAATCTCTGGCCTTAAATGCTCTATGACAGTAAGCAAACGAAGAAGCCGTACAGCTCCCTGCTCATTCAAGTTGAAGTTGTTGATAACCACTCCTTCTTCACTCAGAAATTGTGGTTGGTGTGATTTAGCTGCAACATTTGGAGCTGAATAACAAGAAAATGCAATGAGGTGTAAGTCATGGGGAGCAGCAATGAGTTCTTAAGGAAAAAAACATATATCCTACTTCAGAGTCTCAGCCATAATGAAGTTTGTACAGTAATTCAAAAACAAAAGAAGAATAAAGAAACCTCACAAAAAAACTCCTAATAGCTGCGAGAAAAGTATAATTTTCTTGTAATGTTTGTCTTTTCAGGTATGATGCACAGAAGATGACATGTGTATATTATTTACTCCGCCATCAGCAAGAATAGTGCACAACATTAGAATATGGAAAGTAGCAAATAGGAACTTATTATTAGTAGCAGATAAAAATGAAATAGCAATAAGCAGTAGAAACGAGGGGTCACACTAACTGTAACTTACTTCCACTCCTCACGGTTTCCTCCAGTTCTGTACGGTATAACGATTTACTGCTATCATAGTCCTTGCTTTGGCATAAAACCCTCCATAATTCCTTTCGCACCTCATGTCTGATCGGCCATTCAGCCTTCCTAACGATCTTTTTAACCTTAAAACATATCAGTTATTCGAAAGATGATGCTATGACTGTAGTCATTTTCATGACGCCGTCAATTTTGTGTGGGTTGAATATAATTAGACCCAATATCCTTGATAAACAAAGTGAGAAGAAAACAACAAACATGTCGCGTAACGTACCAGCACTACCTGGGCTACCTGGGAAAACGCTTGTTGTTGACATTTGTCGTTCTCTGCGCCTTTTTGTTGACTTAACCCGAAAGTTTTCAGGTTCCGGAAAGTGTTTGGAGAGCTCAAACACTTCCCAGTGTGTGTCAAAATACACAGTTATAGTGATCACGAGATGGAGAGAATTTAATCCTGGTATACTGAGAAGTTTTTCAAATGAACGATGACAGCGAATTTTGCGCAAAACGATGACGTGAATATGCAAAAAGGTAGGCATTATTATTGATAACTTTTGGTTTCTACTAATACTAAGTACTGTATTGGTGACTCCTTTTTGAACCTGTAATCTGAATCAGCTGTCACTAGCGTTAATATTCTTCATCAGAGTACATGAAATGGCGGTGGTCTGACTAGTAGTAAGTCGACAATAAAGCTGATTACAATCTCAAAAACCTATGGCAAACACAGCACATCGTACCGCCTGTTTCCATACGATTTGGCCTTTCCGGAGCTGCTGATGTTTCAAATACCAAGAGGTACTAGGCTGTATGTTTGTTGTACGTCATTGAGTTTCGACCTTCCAACTTACGATGCCAGTCGCAGCACAAATTGTGTATGTGAGAATAAAGAGAAAGAAATCCAAGCTTGCTAAATTTTAAATTTCGCTGCCGATGAAGGGTCTACTATGTTATCCAAACAGCAGCAGCCATCTTGATAGGCTTAATTTTGAAGGCCTAATCAAGAAAAAACTGATAAATTGTCCGATTTTAGAATGCAAGCAGATGCAAGAACAAAGAAGATATAGCATGAGAAGAAACTAACACCTACCTCCTCACCGTAAAAAGCATCCTTCCAAAAATCAGACGATGAAACAGAGGAGCCAGAATATCCAGAATCAGCGTATGATGACTCCGAATCAACACTGGTTGAGTAAAAACTGCCCAATTTTTGTCTACCATCCAATACAGACATGATAGGAGCGGTCATCGAGGATCTGCCGGGTGCAATGGAGGGGGGGGGGGGCGGCAATTAGGCGATGACCAATCAATATGATATGGACAGATAGTGTTGCTCTATGGGTTCGAGATTCGAGGCTGGCTAGGTAAGTAAATAAGGTCGAGTGCTAGGTTGGAAGGTGGAACCCGTTTCGGAACAACAAAGAATGCAAGAGGTGGAGACGAGGGGAGGGCGTATGAAAGCCGGCCGGAAGCAGTCCGGACTGATGAACCGGAAATACAGCACAGACGTAACACGCTCAGGTGCACACACTCAGAGAAAAGTGTGTCACTTCAACTATTTGATAGTAAATGTGGTAACAAATACCATCAACCAAAGTATCGTACGACAAGAATGCGGGTGGGATGACTTTTGTATATGTCGGAAAGTTCCGTCATATGTCAGTTCCTGGCATTGTTTGATGAGGCACAATGCCCTTTTAATCCCAAGCCGGTTGACGAAGGTGGGGGCCACAAATCACGCATATTCAAATCTATGAAGGGAATACAACAGTAAGGGTACACTTGACATCAGTGAACCAGCCGAGAGCAGTCCCTCATAAAAAGTGATTTGATCTGTGAGGACTGGAAAAGAGTACGAGTTTATAGATGCAGCATATGATGAGAAAAAAAGGCGAGTAATTCGTGAAAAATAAAAGCTCTAGTCTGGCAACAATAAGTGTGGTATCTACAGACTGGCATTAATAACACTGTGTATTAGCATCTATAAAGTAGATGATCGCATCGATGAGAAGGGAGCTCATTTTCTTGGCGTAATGGACTTTAAAGAAGGCTATGCAAGTCCTTCTTGTTATTGGAACACTTTTAGAAATACACTTGCATATCGATTTAGCTTCAGATCGCAAAAGCCGACATAATGTATAAACGATCTGATTAAAAGGGAAAACATTATGAGATTAAAGTGATTATCTAGCATGATATCAAAACATACCGCACCCATCGTCAAAATATAAGTAATGCAAAAAAGTAAAGGAAAAAACGGCAAAACTTAATGAACTAACCGCATCTTTTCGATTGAGACGACTATTATCGCGAATTTCTTCAATTCTAGAAGGCACTGAACTTGCGCCGACATGTGTGTCGCTATTTTTCGTAAATCGAGGATAGGCGTCTTTCTGAAAAAAAGTGTGATTTTCCGAGGAACAGCATCGATCACAAAGTCATGCAAACAAAGAGAAAGAGAACGTGACGATAGAGAACATAACAGCAACTATTCACTCTCACGGACTTACCTCATCGTCGCCCATTTCAAATCCACCTTAATCAAAACCTATACTAGTAGATTTATAAGTAGACATAGGCTTCGCGAAGAGAAGGGATGGAGCGCAAAGCAATATCGCTGGACGAAATAGGGCGAAATAGGGCTAAATGGGGAAGCAAAATCGATATGCACACGGCTCAGAGCCAGAAGAGTCCTAACATTCTCGAGCTAGAGGAAGAAACTAGTAAAGCGACATTAGCAACGTACGGGAATGGTGATTCAGCTAGCTATGTTGCCTGCGTGAATGTTGTGAGCGCAGCTGGCGTCGTTATTGTGCAACCTTTTAGAGACAGCTACTCGACGTCTATTTCACACTCATTTGCTCACACTTGACAGCTTGCCGCAACGTAATCCTGTTACACTCTGGATGAGAATGTCGCCGTGGGGTCATTTCAGTTCAGCGGAAGACAATTGCATATTCCATGTTGATTAAACTATACGCACGTGACCTTTTCATCCTTTAAAGGCAGTGTCCGGGCAAAAACTCGATTTCGAGATTTTGTGCTTACTTGGGCCTATTCGCTACGCTGAATCCGAAAATGCACATTGTAGAGCGCGAAAATGGCGAAAAACGGCTAAAACACAGGAGGGAAATGAGCAGGTGGGCGGGGTCCTCCCCTCTGCGAATTCACGTTCCTGGCTTCCGGAGCGACCTTCTCGCTTCCGGTTTCAAGTCAGTCATTCGCACTTGACCGGTAGCGATGTTAGGACGGCTAGCGGGATCGAGAAAATCGCTTCGGGAGCTGGGAGCGTGAAATCGCACTGGGGAAAGCCCCGCCCACCTGCTGATCTCCCTCCTGTGCTAGAGCCCTTTTTCGCCGTTTTCGCGCTTTCCAATGTGGATTTTCGGATTCAGCATGGCGAATAGGCCCGTATAAGCACAAAATCTCAAAATCGAGTTTTTGCCCGGACACTGCCTTTAACTCGCCCCTCATACGTTATGAAGGGACGTTGTGGTGTTAAATTGAGTTTAAGCATGGGAAAGCCTGTACGTAGACTGTATGTGAGAGCTCCTCCATCGACCTTTCATCTACTGCAATATCCCTACCGTAAAGTGGGGGGGGGGAAGTACACCTGAACCATGTCTGTGCATTCAAATGGTCTGTCAGCTTCTTTATACTGCTTATGCAGATGCGCAGATATCTGAATGATGAAGCGATCGCATGTATACTCCATTCCTCTCGACCTCCTCTTGCACCACATGACTCTAAGAAAAACAAAAACATCCGTTCTATTTGAGCACTAACGCTTAGTGTACACCTCGCTGTACGCAATTCACTGCGTCACCTCATAGCACTCACACTGCCTGTCAATTCGTCTAGATATGAGCTTGGTGAGAGTTGTGAATAATAACCTTGCGAAGGCTCTCCCATTCGCTATCCTCCTTCTCCCGGCTTAGACGTACACTTGAAGAACGACTCGTCAGCCGAAGTGAGCGACGTATGGCAGTTGAGAGACGTCTGCAATGTGTTTGCAATTAATAAAGTATGCTTATATTGGGTCACAGAAGTAGTCTAAAAGGCTTAGCAGCTGCTAGATAGAAGTGCAGTGATGAATCACTTACGAAATTGAACTGTGTCGATTTGAGGGTACACCACGCCGAAATATCGGCGCGGGTTTTTCATCTTCGTCGAATGTGTCTTCGTCCTCATTTGCACTCATTCGTAAGAGCTTTCTTCTGCAAACAATAGTTCCAAATACACAACACAAAGGGGAATCAACATAGGTCATAGCATCTGCGTACGATCATTGAAGTCAATTACGATTACTGAAGTTGCGAGGTAGTAATGGGAAATTATCTCATAAAGAACTGTTGGAACCAGAGGCAGAGCACAATTATCTAGGTGGAGTAGCTGTCGTACTGTAGACATTGAGGTTGAAACATATAGTAAGAGTAGTTACTGCAGTCTGAGCAGACTGGTTCTCCCGATATGTTATTCCCTGTTATTGTTTGCTCTGAATGTGTGTGTCTGTGTGTGTTACTGGCTGGATCGTTCCGAGCATGATTGGAATGAGAGAGTAGAAAGTAGAAAGCATCGTCATAGAGGACAAATTTCAATACAACATGTGTAATTGAATTCTTTCCCTATAGATTTCCTATAAGATGCACTTAGCCTCAGATTAGAAGTCTCAGTAACTCAGCTTCTACCGAAGTTGATTGAAAAAGTTAGGTACTTCCTGTTTCCATCAGATTTGCACAGGTTTGCGGTGCATCAGAGAACACGCGCATGCACGAGAGTTGCAAGTTCAAGAATCAAATACTCATACAAGCCGGACAGGAAACTTCATAGACCTGGATTCTAACCTAAGGCCAAGCGCAAGCAGTAGAATAGTGATTCTATTACAAAAAGAAGAGAGTTCTGGTATATGACCTACCAATAGATCCTCTTTATGATTCGGAGAGTAATATCGGTCATGAATGCATTGCTGCCGTCAGTGGAGCAAACAGTAAGGTCAGTCGTGACAGTCTCACCCGACCAGTAAATTCAACATTTCACTGTGTTTTTAGTTTTCTGTAGATTTTTAGCTTGTACCAAACACCAAACAATTGTCAGAAATATGCGCATCTGCAAAAATGAGAGAAGAGTAATATTTTGACGTGAAAACTCATCACATTTAATGCTAAATGAAGACTTACTTTTTCTTTGCAGATACTTTATGCGCTACATAATGGCGGTATGGTGCGTCACATGTTCTTTGGTCAAGATCAACAAATGCTGTTTACTTACGTATCTATTGAAGTATGTATAGTCTGTAGTATTACGTATCACGATATGTAAATTTACAGATGGCAATTACGCCATTTGATGGCTGAGGCGCACATGAGCAGTCGCGTTTGCGCAGGCCGGATGGAGAAAAGGTATGCGCTTCTACTGTTATCAAATTATGAGTAAGCGCAGCTCAGATAAGCGGTGCTGGCTAGGGCTATCTTCCCATTAAGGGACATAGATCGTTGACTGCCAGAACAGGAGTAGTCATACGACGTCATTTTATGTGAAGGTACAGTCAAGATGGTAAAAACGAGCGATGAGACCTAGGTTCAAAGATGGCAAGCTTGATGGCTTGATTATTTGCAACTTGGCTCAACTTGAAGAGTGGTTGAGGGAGACGAAATTTTGGAAAAGGAAAGTGTTGAGAAAAAATATCTTGGCAGATTATCAAGTGATTTGAGTCAATAAACTCGTAGCACAGTGCGGCGCACCCCGTGAATCGATTGACGGGGAAAAACGATGATGTCGCCCACCCTAGCTGGTTTGAACCGACAGGGCGCAATCTCGAGAACAAAGTGGTGGCTGAGATGATGGAATTCGTGATGTAGACGTACGAGAGAAGGATACAGGCACTTGCACATTCTGACAGAAAAGGTAATGGTGCAGATTGCAGTCGGCAATGCTCTGCTTCTTCTAGGCTCTTTTAAGAAGGCATTGAAATCGATCAAACACACTAGTGGCTGATATTGGAAGAACTGTCATTCCACCAAACAGTGAACGTGACGGCGGCTCTTTTATGGGAGCCTATGCCCTTTCGTGTATGATTCACTTGTGCTAGCAAAAGAACAAGGTATTGTCAAGAAGCAAGAGCTGCATCATCTCGAATCTTATCGGTAGTGATTCAGAGTTACTAACGTCTAGCAACGTAAAATCCTTATTATAGCAATTCACTTTAGCTACGCTGTGAGCCTAAGTCACGGTTTCTTCTTTGAGAGGACAGCATTAGATTTCCTGAAAATATCACACCCTCCACTGTCCTCGCTAATCGCCGATTGTTGGCAATCTTCAGCGTTTCCTTTTACTAATAAAAGTGTTAGGCATTTGAACTGTTGCTGTACCATGGGCGATTGCAGGAATTTTGATGGGAGCAGGACACAGAATTTTTTTGAGCAATATTTTTTCAGCATCAATCTTCGAATTATTTGCGAAAAGATGAGTGCATAGGCAGAGATGGGGACACGTCGAGTCGAAATGTGGCTCTCATCTTCTATTGAACAATATTCAACCAAAACCAACCATAAATAAATAAATAAGTAAAACAAGTCACCTTTCACGATATCACCCGTATCACTTCCTGTTGACAATAGAGCACCTTCGCGTTTATCTGACACGCTAGATGCGCCTGAATCTTACTGTAGAAGTGTGGGTCCACCTTGTTTACCAGTAATTCCAAAAAAAAACAAAGATGGTTAAATGTGGTGTTTAGATATTCATATCAGGTTTGTTTCGACTTTTGACACAAAAAATAAATCTACGAAATTGAGGTGAAATGTTCTTATGCCATCACTCAGCAACATTCTGATGAACTTGTCAAGATTCTCGGCCGTTAATGACGAGCTGATTTATGCTGTGTCATAGTGCTTATCACTTTCTTTTTATCTTACTTAGACTACTCAGATGGCCCCCTCATTCTCGTGCGGGCCCAACCTTTGGCCATTGTTGCGCTTTCGGGCACGTCATGCCTGAACGTCTTGGCGCGTCTGCGATTACTGGGTGATCCTGAATTAGATTCCAACTGCTGACGTAGCTGGTTTACGCGGGAAACAAATAGTCACATCATCTCTTCGGTGGTCTACCACGACTTCGAAGTTCTTAAAATCCATTCCAGCGTTCTTTTTGTCTAGCTAGCGTCTTCTCTTCTCACCATATGTCCGACCCATCTGTATATGTTAGTTCTTCGATACATTGTGCTGGATGTCGGAAGTTGTTCAAGGTCAGAGCTCCGAATGCCTAGTGATATTTCGTTATCTTCGAAAGCTTTCTTTCGAGTGCCCTGTGTGCTGGCAGCGCCTTCGTAGTTGCTGGGGTGCCAGCCCAGGTTTTGACTGCGTAACACAGAGCTGGAAGAACTGTAGCATTAAAAAGGTGAGCACGTAGGTCCGGGCCAGCAAGATGGTCTGTAGCCTCTCTTAGGGTTCGCATGCTGCCCTGCAGCTCTGTCTTCTGCTAAGGTCGTCCTTCATGTCGTTGCTGATGTTGATGGTACGACCTAGGTAATTGTAGGATATGGTCTCCTCTACCGGTGATCCATCCAAGCGTAACCGACCTTCAGTGCACCAGGTATTTCTCATGGACTGCGTCTTCGTCCGATTGATACTGAGCCCTATCCTTCTCCGTTTCGTTCAACTCGTTCAACATCTCTTCGTCTTCGCTAACCGAATTCGAGAATAGAACGATATTGTCTGCGAGAGGGAGATTTAGGTACCGTCATCCACTCGTGTTCCTTTCTCATCCCAGTCAAGCGACTGCATGCATTGCAGTGCGGCAGTGAACAGCTTTGGCAACAGAGTGTCACCTTGACGTACTCCTTTCTCAATATGAATGTGGAGCGGGTCGAATAGGTGTATCGTTGTGGCGCATCCTTGGAATCTGCTGTTGTTCTCATATAAGTAAGGTCCACTCCCTGGTTGATCCAAGCTGTCATTACGGCGTTGATTTCCACACCATCAAAAGCCTTTTCGTAGTCTACAAATGTGAGGATTAGCGGCAGTTGGTATTCCGGACAAACCTCCTCAGGGACTCGCACCGTGCGGGCGGCCAGCGACGAACTTACAATCGCTCGTTGGTGTGTGCGATTGTACGGTCGTCAAGGGCCGTTAGCACGGTTGACGTGGGGCGCCCGCACGGTTTCTAATGCTCGCCGCTTGCGCGGGGAAGGTCGGCCGCTCGCTTGCTGCTGGAGTAGGTTTATATGGGGTATTTTGACCATTTTGCTTGGGTATGTTAATCATTTCCACATTTTGGGAACATGGATCAATGCCTGCAGCACTACCCAGACTTTTCATGGAAGGGCCCACATCATCACTCCTGATAACTGTAGCCTCACAAAGGTTCATTCCAGCTTTGCGGGTGAGGAAACGTTGATAGCAAGCTATGTCGACGCTTAGCCAGCCTAAACGCTGCGTCGTATCTCACGCAGGTACCGTTTACGCAATCGTATTGCAGGCCGTTTGCACGGTAACATTGCTTGCCGCTAGGACGACACTTCAGCTGTTTGCCGCACGCACGGAAGCTTTAGGCTTATGTCGACCGCTTGTACGCGAGCCCTTATAGGAGGACCGCTCGCACGGCGCGAATCCCTGAGTCCACGAACCTTGAGACGGCTTGGATGTGGTTGATGCAGCTGAATCCTTCACGTAATCCGGTTTGTTCAGACGTTGTGCTTCATCCACGTCTTCGGGATACGCGACGTGATATTGTTTGTGAACAGCTTGTAAAGCACACTTAACATGCTGATAGGTCGATAATTCTTGAGGTCGTCTCTCCCGCTTTTCTTGTGTAGGAGAGTCGTGCGGGATGTCTTCCACTGGTTGTGTATCCTTTCTTTCTTTAGTTAATCTGTCATATGAGTGTTGCCAATAGAGGCAGCTTGTAACCGCCGGTTCCAGTACTTTGGCGGTGATTTGGGTCAGAAGCTGTGCCTGGTTTCGTGGACGCTACGGCTGCTGCTTTTGAAGGAAGGATCCTTGGCGGTTGCTCTGGAATGGCAGGGCCTGGTACGTGCGTCGTGAATAAAAGAGTTCGTTGTAAAAATCTGCCGTTAGCGCTTCCATTTCGCGCCAGGAGGCTAGTCTCCCGTCTCTGCTCATTAGCTTGTATCGGTAATACAGTGCTGGCCAAAACTATACTTCCACCCTGAAAACTGTCGTAACTCATCTGCTTCTCAACGAATTGATCTGAAATTTGGTACAGCTATGTATTTAACAGGCTACCATCAGTACCTAAAACGAATCCCGTTTTTGTTTGATTATTCAGGAAAAAATCAGAAATTTCGAAAAAAGCAGGCTTGAAGGTTGGCCAAAACTATACTTCCACTTAAGGTTTCTGTCCACTAAAGTAATTCTAGGCTTCCAAAGTTTTTTGTGCATATACATAATCAAAAGTCGAAACAGTCGCCTCAGTCCAGCTGTGTCATACCTTTATAAGAAACTTTTATCTGCTTTTTCTCTTTCTTTTTTTCTTTGCTTAAAAATACTTTCATGCGTATTTTGTCCCCGAGATTGTGTTTTTATGGGTGATTTCGCAGTTTTTTGACTGATTTGGAAACGATAGGGCTTCTTCTATCTTATAAATGCTTAGCGAAGTGAGAACGAGGAAAAAAATTTGATTTTCATATTTTAAAGGGCACCCGACATAGACCTAACAGCAAGCCTGCGCTCACATTTTTGCTTTTAAACTCTTTCTGCAATGTTCTCATGAGCGTGAAGTAAAACAATAACATTGTTGTACGTATGAGAGTCCGGATGCAGTGGTTGCAGATTTCCGCAGGTCTTAGCATGCAGGCTAATTGAGGAATTCATCCTGCAAAAACTGATTTGCAAAAAGCTTTGAACTTATTTTTGGTTCTGACCGTGATACTCATGTGAGTCACAAGGAATTATACAATACAGGGTGTTTTCACTATCTAGCACTAAAGAGTGACAAAAAATCAGGAAAGGTTCCAATTGGTAAGTATTTTGGGATTGCCTAAATATTATCACTGAACCGCGAAGATCTATGCTTTGAAAGCGAAGCAAAATATGACTTGGCGAACAATCGTAAGTATAGTGTACAAACTTCTTTTTATGCAAACAATGCTTTACATCATTTTGAGCTTACAAAAATAGCATAAACCTATTTTGAAGGCAAAAATTTGAGCGCAGACTCGCTGTTGGGTCTATGTCGGGTGCCCTTTAAAATGCAAAAATTCAAATTTTTTTCTAGTTCTCACTTCGCTAAACATCTATAAGAAACATGGAGACCTAATGCTTCCAAAACAGTCAAAAAACTGCGAAATCACCCATAAAAACACATTCTCGGGAACAAAATACGCATGAAAGTATTTTTGAGCGAAAAAAAAACAGATAAACATTTCTTATAAAGGTATGAC